ATTTTTTCTTACTCAGAGTATACAAGGACTAATGGTACAAAGGAATACTCTGGCCAATATGACTTCATACCAAAATACATCAATTCTTTTCAAGACATCTAGTAGCATAGATAGGAACACAAATTTAACACTATGTTAACTTTTGTATTCTGATTTTAACTCTGACATTTTATTGCATATTACAGTAATAGGACTTGTACTTTGCATCACTTGGTAAACAAGCAAATATTAAGCCAATTTTAGTGTAAATTCCTTGCAAGATTTGGAGCTCTGATAAATGAGCTTTGGCATTTCGTGATTGATTGGAGTAAGGGGTTACTGCTTATAACAATCTGGCTACTTTTACAGGAGACTAACACCCTTGTAAGCTGGATAGAAGTGAAGGTTATGATGGCTTCTCAGCTGAAAAGGCACCCACCCTTTCTACACTTTCTACATCATATTGTCCAAATAAAAACAAGCCGCCTCAGAAGTGGAGGAGTCCTCTAACATCTAGTTCCTAAGACTGGAGAATCATTATCATGTGATGTCCATCCAAGAATATGATGGAGAAATTATTAGTGCTAAGGCCCTATGTGGGCATCAGGAGATTGAACATGAGACACTAACCACTGCATATTCCTGCTTCCCAGAAAAAGAAAAATGTCTGAAAGTGTATTTATTTTTTATTTATTTTTTTTTGCCTCCCCCTCCCCTTCCCCTTTTCTCGTTGCCATACTGAGTAACTGGCTTCTAGTCTGATAGTGTTTTAGGTGACTAGAATAACAGTCTGTCTTTTTCCACAGTGGCTGCAGACAATCTGGCAGCAATCACTGTTACTTTTTAATATTTCTGGTTATTTTGAGATATCCTCCAAATGTCTCAAAGAAGGCTTGGAACACTGAAGGGGAAGAAGCTGCTTTCTTTTTTTTTTTTTTTTTCAAGAATAGCAGCACCAGGAGGAAAATGAAATTCAGCATGCCACTATTTGTTTTTGCAGTGGTCATCACCCTGATTGCCAGTTCTGACAATATTTTCACAGAAAGGGTAACTAAATAGATGGTATTTGTTCTTCATAATAACTCTTTCAGCAGAATGTCAGGACCTGCATCTAAATGAATATATTCACATTTTTATGTTCCCATTTTTTTATTTAAAGCTTCCCCTCTAAGTTTCTGAAACTACTTCATACAGATTTGGTAAGTTAAAATTAGGGTTTGTGCAGTGGATATTGTCACATTTCAAAGCTAGTCTGTAGAGACCTAAGTGAGTGAACCTGTAAGAGCTAGGTTTTAATTATTATTATTTTTACATATTAAGTGTTTGTTTAGTTTAAATACGTCTGTATCTTTTTTGATCACCCTGAGCAATTTGCATGCTCTGCAGTCATCTTCTATACTTTATTAAATATCTGTCAATTATAAATATCAAGGTTTTACATTAATGTCAAGACAGTACATCAAAAATTCATGGAATATGTGACTTTTTTCGAGGGTATTTAATACTTAATGCATTTGTGTCATTTTTCTTTCTAGATATATTGACAGGTTTTATTAAGTGTTTGTTAGGGAGATTACATTTTTACCAAGGGACTATAAAGAGAAGCTGCATACTAAATCATTTTTTTAGTCAGAATATTGTTCTTTTTTGCGTGTCTTCAGATTCTTACAATCTGTAAGATTTTTAAGAGATGTAGTAAAATAGTCCAAGGCAGAAATCCAACATGATCAACTGTGCTGACGTACCTTAACTTTAAAAAAAGCTACTAGAATATTGTACCGTGGAATGTTATAACTAGGGTAATTATGTACACTGGGATGTTATTCTGCCTTCTGTCTCTTGCGGCCATTTATTTTTGTCCTTTATTGTTTTATGTGAATTGTCTGGATGGTCTCTAAATAGGGGCAGTCCCCAGGTTTCAAAGGTTTACAAGTGGGGGGTTACAGAGCATTTGGTGGCATCCAGAATTGTGCCTGGGAGGGTTGTGTGTCCAAGTTGTCTCCTTACGGAGGGACCTCACAGCAACCTGCCAGTTTAATACAGCTTTTTCTCATGGAGAGGACAGTGGCAGCGTCTATGTATCTTGCTTCCTAGAGGTGTTTGCTCCAAGGTGGGGCTGGTACTCCTTGTGTAGAGCGTGAGTAGGACCTGAGCAGGTGGATGGTGTTCAGTCTGCACGCTGTTAAGCCCTTCGTAGTCTCTCTAAATGCATTTTGACTGCCAGTGCGTTATGAGCAAACTGTTGCTGTTTGCGAAAGGCTGTATTCCGCTGGGAGTTCTTGCTGGAGAAGAGGGAGGAGGCAGCATCAGGGCATAGAGGACGGACCGGCGTTATACCCGGGCTCTTTCTGCTACGATAAACTTGTCAGCCCCCCTGTTAGAGGCAGCGCAGCGCTCTTTACGCTCCAGGTGCAAACAAGCCCCCCAGCACTGGGGTTTCAGAGCGTTGGGATAACGCCCAAGGTCTGCGGCGGAGAGGATGCGTTTTACCTTTCTGTTCCGTCTCCTGCTGGGGTTGCCGGGAGGGGCAGGGGCCGGGGCCGGGGCCGGGGCCGGGGCA